ATTGCAGCATTATTTACCATAGCTAACATATGGAACCAACCCAGATGCCCCTCAGTAGATGAATGGATCAAGAAAATGTGGTATATATACACAATGGAATTCTATGCCTCCATCAGAAACAATGACATTGCCCCATTTGTTAGGAAATGGGAAGACTTGGAAAAAATTATATGAAGTGAAGTAAGCCAGGCCCAAAGAAACCTAGGTCCCATAGTTATTTGCAATAACTAGTATATGTATGGGATAAGCAGAATAGCTCAGATAAGATGATATTAAGTGAAATGAACCCTAAGATAGGGATACAAGTGGTTTTTTTTCCTTGCTATTGTTTCTAATGTATTTATAAGGTACCATGTGATTTTTTTGTTGCTTTGTATGTCCTTCCCCCATGGTATAACCCCTATTTTCACTGTATTTGATGTTGGTATAATTTTGGGAGGGGAAGGGAAAAAACAAATTGTTTAAATAGGGATACAGATGGACCCATTGCAACAATAAGATGTACAAGACATTATGTGGATAAGGGAGATTGGCGGGTGGGGGTGTAGTTGAGGAGGTGGGAGGGACAAGATAGTAGGGGAAAAACAAAGGAGGAGGCAACAATGCTGGATAAGAAATGTACTCATTACCTTGCTCATGTAACTGTAACCCCTCTGTACGGTATTTTCACAATTAAAAACTTATTTAAAAAAATCTCTCCTGCCAATTCAAGCTTGGGAATTTTGTACTGATCTTGAAACTTTAGTGGTGTCTTTTACAATTCTGATATCAAGAAAGAATTTTCCAACCATTTGTAACTTTTCAAAAAGTGTTTTATAATTGTTTTCACATACTAATGCTTGTCTATGTAAACTGTCAATGTTACCATAGAATAAAATAAATTTATTTTTAAACAAAGTATACATGTTTGTATTTGAGGATTTTCTATTAGTACCATGAATTGCTAATAAAATAAGTTTGAACACCATTACTTAAAAGTAAATTCACGTTTTACAAAAAAATGCTCATTAATACTTTTGAAATAGCTCATCTGGGCTATGTACTTGCCTTAAAGTATTTGAAAGGGTGGTAGACACCTATGGGCCTTCCTGTCCAATGTTCTGGCTTTATCTCTGACTCCACTTTTAGTCCTATCTGGTTGGTGTAAGGTGGGATTTTAAAAACCAGGATACACAAATTTTTTTCCTGCAGCCTTGATTGTCAAAACTACAGGCTCTCCAGCCTTTGGACTCCAGGATTTACACTAGCATCCATGTAGGTTCTCGGAATTTCAGCCTCAGATGGAAATTTATACCATTGACTTCTCTGGCTTGAAGTTTTTGAATGTAGGCTGACCCATAAGGATCTCTAGCTTGCAAAAGCCTGTTGGGTGAACTCTTCAGTTATCTTTCACATTTTTCACTCCATTCTATTGCCCATGGTTGAAGCAAATGACACAGACATTGGAGTAAGATATTTGGGGCAATTAACATGTTTTGTTCGTTTGTTTTTGTTTTAACAAGAAATTCTACGTAGCTCAGATAGCCTCAAACTTACAATCCTCCTGACTTAGCCTCTTGAGTCCAAGAACCACATACACAATGCCCAGCAACAACATGTTATTTAAATAACAACCAGCCTGAATACAAACTTTTGTAAAGAAAGTCAAAGATATAGTCAGTACCCATAGCTTTTGGACCAAACTTTTCTTAAAAAGACCTTTATTTTAGTATAATCTGCTTATAACTGGCCTTAATATATTCGGAGCATTGTTAGCATTCATTCATTCAAACAAAACATTTATTAAGTACCTATTTCAGTGCCAAGTATGTTAGGTGATGGAACTATACAAGTTATAAAAAAATAGTTGTGTTTAAAAAAACAACAGCAACAACCAAAAGCAAACCCTGAGCTAGGAGCTGGTGGCTCATGCCTATAACCCTAGCTACTCAGGATGCTGAGATCTGAGGATCACGTCATAGCCAGCCCAGGCAGAAAATTCCCTATGAGAATCTAATCTCCAATTAACCACCCACAAACTGGAAGTGGAGCTGTGGCTCAAAGTGGTAGAATGCTAGCCTTGAGCAAAAAGAGCTCAAGGGTAGAGCCCAGGCCCTGAGTTCAAGCCCCAGGACTGACAAAAAACAAAAACAACATAAAACAAACCCTGATACTTCAAGAGCTTATCTTTTAGTAAATCTATATTTTGATAGCATGGAATTTAAAACCAAATTTATTCAAGAAATTATATCTCCCAAAAGGCATTGTTGTCAGTCGTTTAACCTAACTAATAATCATGAAACATGAAACTCAAGATAACCCTCACAGAGGAACCTAGCATATGGTGGGATTTGCAGATTTCCCTTGGCCCTGAGTAATTAGTAGATTTTAGTAGCAACTGTCAAGAGGACAAAAAGTATATCTATATGTCCTTGAAATAAAATTTGTGTGCGTGGGTATGTAGAGGTGGGCTGGTCATGGGGCCTGAACTGAGGGCCTGGACTCTGTCTCTGAGCTTTTTTTCTCAAGGCTAGTGTTCTACTACTTGAGCCACAGCTCTACTTGTGGAGGTTTTATGATTAGTTGGGAATAAAAGTCTCACGGGCTTTCCTGCCTGGGCTTACTATGAACCATGATCCTCAGATCTCAGCCTCCTGAACCACTGGTGCTGGGCTTAAAGGCTTTTTATGCTGTTTTTTTTTTTCTCTGCTTGGTAAATATTGTTTCGTATGGGAGCATCTGGTCTTAAAAAAACTCTTTTATACTTCAAAATATTTTTTTCTCTGTGAAGGAAGCTGTTCCCATGTGATCATCTCTGTCAGCCAAGCATTAGTTCCAGAACATAATGTGCAAATATTCTACCCTAGTCTGCATGCTATTACTGACTCGTAGGATTGTGTATCTTATAATAGCATCTAGTTGGCACGTCTGGAAGCTTCTCATTCTTCCCTGGACCTGTCGGTGAATGGTATTTAAAGTAGTCTGAAATTCTTTATTAAGAAAATATATAGACGATAATGCTTAAAAATAATATCCTAAAAACCAGTAATTATTCAAAGTGATACACAATTGGGATTCTTTTTGGAACTTTCCACAGGTTGGTTCTGCAGTATGTTTACTCCACATCTATGGTTAGTACTTATACTCTCAAAGAAATGTTGATCAACTATACTTTGAAGGTGAATGTTTTCTTTCCATATTTTGTTATTCTCATCGAAGTTTAAAATTCCAAACATAAATAGATGTGAAGCAGAGATATTCCCAGAGGCTTAAAAATGTCCTTTGTCATTTCTCTTCAGCTTACCTAAAAGGAATCAAATAAGCAAAATTCTTCACAAGCACAGACCTCCTCCTTAATGTTGCTTACTGTAGTAAGTATAATTATTTTTTGCAAGATGTATGCAAAAGAAGAAAATGTTCAGACACTCTGAGATACATGCTAGATAATGCTGTGCCATGGTTTGACACTTATTAAAAAGCAAAAGAAAACTTTGTGTCTTACTTGCTCTTTAAAACCCTTTTAAAAGTATTTCCAGGTGTACACTAATTGAACCTATTTCTAATATATTATTTTAAAATATTTTAGGAACCTTTTAGTCTACTCAGTGAACCACAAATAACACTTCAAAACATCTCTTTTTTCTATTTTTCTCTCTCTCTCCTTTTTAACTTGTTTTATGCCTGAAGAGAATCTGTTCCTAGATAGTGTACCACAGCTTATCTACCTCTCAACTCTAACTGGATTTTAAAATATCTGAGCTGGTTGCCAAACCAGTGTTCTTGAGGATGGAGAGGAGACTTGCTTCTGATCTATTACAGTGCAAAGGTTATGAGTTTAAAAATCTTTATTCAGCCGGGCACCGGT